TGGTTTTTCCCTTCCCCTTCCCAAATTATATCAACATAAAATGCAGTGAAATCAGGGGTTATACCATCGGGAAAGGATATACAAAGCAACAAAAAAAAAATCACATGGTACCTTACAAATACATTAGAATCAAAAGCAAGAAAGAAAAAAACAATTGTGTCCCTATCTTGGGATTAATTTGTTAGGAAATGGAAAGACTTGGGAAAAATTATATTACGTGAAGTAAGCCAGGCCCAAAGAAACATAGGTTCCATGGTTTCCCTTATTTGCAATAATGAGTATATGTCTGAGACAAGCAGAAAAGGTCAGATAAGATGATGTTAAGTGAAATAATCATTATTTTCTTACAGGCATAACATTAAAGAATGAAAACCCCTCTCATATCATGTTTCATGGTAAGTTTCCTCAATCCCAAATATCTTTGATTTATTTCTTCCTAATTATAACCTCATTTTCAAGCTGTTGATCACAGTTGTCTTTTTTTTTATTTCTTCTCATTTGTCTGTGACTAGTGTGATGGTGGGCAGGAGGGAACAATAGAGACAATAGAGACTTTATATCTCTTTATTGAGGTCTTTTTTCATGCCTTGACTTTCATTACTTCATTACTTTACCTGTGCCTTTTTTCATCTCTTTTAGCCCTGTAGCTATATTTTCTTTAAAAGTCATATAGCACAATGGAGGGGGGTAACAATGCTCAATAGGGAGTGTACTCATTGCCTTACTCATGTAACTGTAACCCTCTGTATAGTATCTTTACAATTAAAAAAAAAAGTCATTTAGCCCTTTAGTAGCATCCACTTGAATTTAACTTTTTAATCAGTCTTCTCATTAAATTCCTTCATTTATCTCTTAGTGTCCTATTTGTGATCATAAAACATTTTTACCAACAGTCCTTTGAGTTCAATGAGATTTCTTCTATTTCACTATCATTCTGTTCTGTTGTTGTATGATTATTGTTTTCTGGATGTATTGTATTTACCTGCTTTCTTGTATTTCTTGTACTTTTGAGTTGAAATTTACTCATTGAAGACCCTTTTTAGTATGGGCTTTAGGATGCCTGAAGTCTTCCTGAAGGGTTATTCTCTGTATTCTCAGTGGACTAGATAAATGATGGCTTGATGATCCATTTCCCCTTGCTAGTATGGGGGTATATTTCAGCTCTACTACCATCTCCAAGTCAAAATGCAGTGAAATTTTTACATACAGTAGGATATCATTGATAGTTTTATTTTAAAATCCAGTTAAACTAAATGCATTGGGAGCTGTTTTTTTTTAATTGTGAGAATACTGTACAGAGGAGTTACAATTACATGGGCAAGGTAACAAGTACATTTGTTATCAAGCATTGTTACCTCCTCTTTGTTTCCCCTTCCCATCCCTTCCCATACTCCCCCACCTCCCCCTACCTGATCCTCCCCCCTTCAAAGTTGTAAAGTTTGTTTTTCAACATAATGTCTTGTACATCTCATTGTTGCAATGGGAGCTGAGTTTTTGTATAAGCTTTCAGGGTAGGAAGAATGAGGAAAGAGATATGAAGTTAGGAAGATGGTAACACAGGGAATTGTATATGCTCAGTATAGGTATATAGACCAGTTGTGAGGAGAAGTGTTAATATCAAGAGCTAGATACAGGTGAAAAAAGAAGAAGGGTCTAAGGTAAAGGAAGGGTGAGATGGAATAAGTTACCAGCCACTGGTGGCTCACATCTGTAATCCTAGCTACTCAGAAGGCTAAGATCTGAGGGTCAAGGTTCAAAGCTAGCCTGGGCAGAAAAATCTATGAGACTCTAATGTTCCTTTTTAAAAAAGCAGAAAGTAGAGAAGTAACCTCAAAACAAACTGAAAACAACCCAAAACAAAACATTCACACACACACACACAAGAAAAAAAATCTCAAAGCAGTCAATTGAGGGTATCATTTATGGCACACTAAATTTTCTCAAGATGATCTGCACTTCTAGTCCCAGGCCCTGCTCTGTGACTTGGTTTGAGTGAGTATAATCCCTCCACCATAGATGTCAATGGAGTTTCTTTCCTGGTTTCCTCTGGTAGAGCAGCTGTTTCTTAGTGGGGCAGCTGGCTGGGGCCAAATGAAGTTCTTTTGTTTACTGTTTCTCTGTTCCACTCAGAAAATGACTGCCATAGTCAGTGCCTCTGGGTCAGCTTTCAGATGAAAACATTTTTTAAGTATTGTTTTCCAAGTAACTAATTTGCCACTCCAAAACTTCTGTCCTCACCGTACCCCTCCCCCACAAAATCCCACAAAATAACATTTAAAAATAACAGAAATCTTCTCATATCATAAGGCTTACATAAATTTCCAGTCCCTAGGGAGGATCCCTCCTCAGACAGGAGGAGTCTATCACCTGTTAATAGGTTAATATCTTGTTAATCTTCCCAAAGTATTTGGGAAAACTGTTTATAAGGAACTCTGATACAAAGAGCCTTCCTTAATATTGTTTAATCCAGAGTCTTCCAAAATTACTAAACATAGAACCTTTTAAAAACATTACTATATTTCTGCATGACTGTTCTCATTAATCATGCTTTAGAAACTGAAAAAGTAAAGAATTAAATCCTTACTTGGCCTAATGAACTGTAAAGCCCTAGCTAATGGAACTGTGTTTGCGAACTTTTTGTCTTTGACTCTCCTCATCAGGAGGAGAACACTCTATTGTCAGGCTCTGATTCTATGGCTTCCACTCCCTCAGGTAATCTTCCAAGGGATCTTAAGATAACAGGGAAGGAAAATTGTGCCATAGCCTGGCTAACAAAGAAGGAACTTTTTCTGGAGGCTTCTGAAAACTGTAGGGAGAGGTGGCACCTCAGGAAGTTAAATCCAAATGTTGGTGTCCTGATGAAACAATAGAAAGCTCACACTAATCAAGTACAAGGTCTGAGCATTTTCCAAAAAGAATGTAATTTAAACTTCACAATAATGGTGCTGAGAAAATATTTTTCTGATGAGGGTGAGAATCAGAATGGTCTATCAGTTGCCCAATATCCTTGGCCAGAAAAGCAGCAGAGTGGGGCTTCCCAGGGTGGTCTGTCTGGCTCCACACCCAGGTTCCTTGGCATCACACTGAGGTTGGAAGACCTCACTTTGAATCCCAGAATGTTTACTTCTGCCTAAACCTTCCTTGTATGCAAAAATACCATGAAATGACAAACATGAGAGGTAAATAATGCTGTTGGTAGCCTGATTAGGTTGATATTGACAGTGCAAGCTCCTGCTTAGGACAATGGTGCTCACCTTCACCATTTCATTTCCCAACCAAAGGCCCAGTTGACTGTCACCAGAAGAGCTCTCAGGAGAACATGCTAATAACTTCTTCCTGAACCGAAGAGGCACATTCAGTGAAAGATTACCTAGAGCTGGCTTCTGTAAAGTCCCAGTGACAAATATTGAATAAGCCAGAAAAGGTCCTATGCAAAATATAGAACAAGTCAGAAAAGCTCTGCAATAAAAACACTACGGCCCAACACAGGCTGAAGGAGAAAAAAATGTTCCCATCAAGGGAATGACAAAAGTTTCAGCAAGGAAAAAGCATAGGAACTTGGATTACAGGATATAGAGCATAAGAGCAACAGATGACAGGGAGGGGACTGTATATTAGGGATTCTTAGTAAAGGCATCACCTTTATGGAGTGAATAAAGTGTAAGACTGTATGTAGTTGTACATGTATAATTTTATAGTGTAATTGCTAATCTATATTCTATGACCCTATCACTTATTAAATTTGTTTTTCTAAATAGACTCAGTCAAGCCAGGTACCCACTGATCACAGCTGTAATCCTAACTACTCAGGTGCTGAGATCTGACTCTTTGACTCTGTGAGACTTTTATCTCCAGTTAAACAGCAAAACAAAACAAAAAAACAAAAAACAAAAGTAGAGCTCTGGTTCAAGTGCTAGATGACTAGCCTTAAGCAGAAAAACTCAGGGATGGCACTCAGCCTCAGAAGTAGCACTAAAAAAAGACTCAGTTATCAACCCTAAATTTGATAATTACTAATTCCCCATACAAAAACTAAGTTCAGTCACTGATAAGTGAGTCATATGCTCTATCAGAGATGACTGTAGAAACAAGTTCTTGGTTTAGGATTTTACGTCCATTAGAAGGTGAAATGTGGAAGGACAAGAGTAAACAAATGCCACAGTGGTACACACTAGACACTATGGCAAAAATGAACTATACAACTTGTCAGTGAGGATGGGAGGGAAAAATTTGGAGTGAGCGAAGAGGTGACATTGTCCAAGACTCTTTACCTAACTTGTGTAACTATAACCCCTTTATACATAACCTTTATTTAAGAATAATTTTAAAAAATTAAAAAGGAAGTGAAATGCTTGGTAAAAGCATAGCTGACTAAACTGAATGACTACATTCTTGGCCAAATATCTGGCCAAATATAAGCCCAGTCATATATATTCCATGAGGGTAGGCATATCCAGTCTGGATTTTCCCCTAAGTTCTTCCCAGCAGGAACACAATGCTGCTGTTCCTGGCTGCCTCTTTTCCTGTCCCATCATTCCCCATTCTTTGCTGTCCTCACCATCAGCACATATCATGCCTGATAGGACAGGGATCTATGAACCTATGATGATTGCCCACCAATGAGAGAAGGCACACAGAAAGGTTATCTATACCACCATTAACAATATTGAGCTTCCATACCAGTACTAATGCTACTAATAGTGAACTTTCACTGAGTACCTCATTCATCATATCAACCCAACAAAAGACAGCTTCTCTTATCTTCATTTTACCAGTGGGAAAAATAAGATTTGGAGAACTTTAGCAACTTGCTCATCTTGTAAATGGCTGAAGAGAAATTTGATCTCAAGTCAGCATTTCCCCAGAACCCAAGTAATTAACTACTAGAGGGCCCAAAGTTCCTCTATCAGTAGGTTGGTGGGAAAAACTAACCAGAGAAAGACACTCTGAGGCTGAATTGAGTCTTACTAATTACTCATATCTCTGTTACTCTTTTCTAGATAAAAATATTTATTCAGTTCAATATCATATTTTTGATACAAACCACCAAAGTCTGGTCTTAGACCAGGACCAATTCATCCTTAAAGCAGTACCACGAAAACATGACGAACCTGCAGGTGAGTCTCAAGCTTTCTTTACTCGGTGGAGATGGTTTCATCTTTCCCACTGTCCTCTGGCCTAGGAGGAGTCCCTGTCCATCAGGACTGCTTTGCTTCTCCCTCCTCTTGAAAGGAAGAAGCACTGCTGCCCAAGGAGCAGTCTCAGTGGGCTACAGGGGATGACCAAGAGTAAGGAGTGGAGGAGCACTCAAAGATGTCTCTAATCAAAAGAAGTCTGGTAGGAAGTGAGGTGTGGGGTTGGTGAGAGGAGACTGGAAGGAAATCAGCACCACAGATACAATGAGAGGAAAATTCTGAGACTAAGGTTATTCTTGGCTACAGGGCCAGTATGTGGGTAAGAGAAGAGGGATGTTACACCACAAACTTCAACAGAAAACAAAGGTATTTTTAAAATTTTTATTGTCAAGGGGTTGTACAGAGAGGTTACAGTTACGTACATAAGGTAATGAATACATTTCTTGTCAAACTTGTTACCCCTCCCTCATTTTTTCCCACTTTCCCTCCCCGCCAAGTTGTATAGTTCCTTTCCAACACATTGTCTTGTATCACTGTTGCACTGGTTGCTGTTTGTCCTTTTCCTCACATTTTGTTGTTCCCCTTCCCTTCCCTAATTCAGATAAACACATATATAATACCCAGGGTACCAAAATCAAACACAGTGATAACAGGGGACAAACCACAGGAGGAAAAAAAACACAATATAAAAAAGAAATCTCATAATACATTAAAAACAACAGCAAGGGGGCTGGGAAGGTGGCTCAGTGGTAGAGCGCTTGCCTTGCATACCTGAGGCCCTGGGTTCAATTCCTCAGCACAACATAAGCAAAAAGAAACAAGCCGGAAGTGGCGCTGTGGCTCAAGTGGTAGAGCGCTAGCTTTGAGCTGAAGAGCTGAGGGACAGCGCCCAGGCCCAGAGTTCAGGCCCCACAACCCGACCCAAACAACAACAACAACAAGCTGGGTGCTGGTGGCTCACACCTGTAATCCTAGCTACCCAGGAGGCTGAGATCTGAGATTACAGTTCAGAGCCCCCCTGGGCAGGAAACATCTCCAACAAACCACCAGAAAACCAGAAGTGGCACTGTGGCTCAAGGGGTAGAGCATTTGCCTTGAGCTGAAGAACTGAGGGACAGCGCCCAGGCCCAGAGAGTTCAAGCCCCATAACTGAAAAAAAAAAAAAAAGGAATAAAGAAAAAAGAAAAACTTCTTGTTTCCATGTCTTGGAGTTCATTTCACTTGGCATCATCTTTTATGGTCATGTAGACATAGCTATTGAGCCATTCTGTTTATCTGCTATGACTATCCTAGACATATATTAATTATTATAAGTGAGGGAAACTGTGGAGCCTATGTTTCTGGCTTACTTCACTTAATATGATTTTTTTCCAAGTCTTTCTATTTCCTTACAAATGGGGTGATGTCATTCTTTCTGATGGAAGCATAGAATTCCATTGTGCATATATGCTAAATTTTCTTGATCCATTTTATCTACCGAGAGGCATCTGGGTTGGTTCCATATCTTAACTGTAGTGAGTAATGCTGCAATAGCTGTGCTGGTAGCTTTAGTATGGCCTTGTTTGTGACCATTTGGGTAAATGCCCAGAAGTGGGATTGCTGGGTCATAGGGGAGCTCTATGTTTAGTCTTTTGAGGAGGTTCCTCAAAGGTAATTTTTTCTTCTCAGAAACTGTTCTAATTACCTTTTACAGAAACCTTTGATGTATTGCCTGCATATATAGAAGATGTGGATATCAATCCTATTTTTTTGGCTGTTCTTAATGGAGAGCTCTGTCTGTGTTGTGATGTAGTCAATGAGGAGCCCACATTACAATTAAAGGTAAGAAAACTCGGGAGAATTGTCTCCAGACTTCCCAGTCCAGAAAAATAGAAAGCTTTAATACTAGTACTGAAACCTAAGCTTTAGCAAAGCTAAAGCTATTTCTTTCTTTCCTTCACAAAGTTTGTTAGTCATTTTTAGTCACAGCAACAAATACATGAGATTATCAACTTATAAAGAGAAAAAGATTATTTTGGCTCATCCTTTGAAAGCTTCAGCCCATGATTCATTGGCCTAGATGTTTTGGGTCTGTGGTAGCATATTATTGTGGGAGAAATCTTCTTATTTAGTGGTCAGGATGAAAAGAAAGGATAGGATACCCAAATCTTCTTTGAGAGAACATTCTCAATGTCCTAAAACCTCCCTCTAAGCTCCACCTATTGAAGTTTCATCATCTCTTAATAACACTAAGATTAGGAGCAAGACTTTAATACATGGACCTTTGGCAAGCATGCAAAATGCAAACTATGAGATATTTATATCATATCATATAGATAAAATAGCAGCTATTAATAAATTCTTCTTCAAATTTCAGAACATAAACATTCAAACACTGAATTCACTGAGGTACTATGATCGTCTGCCCTTCACTTTTCTCAAGGAAAAAAACGGCTCAGTTTTCACTTTGGAATCCATGAAAAATCCTGGATACTTTATCTACACCACCATGATGCCTGGACAACCTGTAGGAGTGACAAAAGAGAAAGATAAAAATAACATTTATTTCGATTTTGAACCTGTCAACATGAATCTCAATGATCAAGAAGCTAAATAGGCAAAATAACAAAAGCCAGACCATCTATGGCAACAGAAGTTGAGATACAACCTGACAGCAACCAGCAGTGACACATGAACTGCTCTACCTTTTTGCTACTATTTACAATTTACAAACAACTAGAGAAAACCAACTCTGCTCTGCACATCAATCACATAGCTTCCTCATGTTGCTTCCTTATGCTATATTCTAATCAAATACAACACCAACTAAAGCCTTCCTTTAAAAAATCAGAAAGCTTTCCTACTCACCTGCCTACTTTTAAGTCTCTTCCAGCACCGGCATTGGTCAGCCCCTTGCTATATACCCAGTTCTGTATAGTTATTGCTTGTTTTCATTTGAATGGTCTTTATTTTCATACAGAACTACAAATAAGAAAACACTTTCTTCCTGTAAAATGGGCATTCAACCAGTAAATTTGTGGTGTTTGTTTGGGGTGTCATTTGTCCCTATAAGATATACATACATGTGTGTGTATAGTGTAGTTAATTCATTCTAAGCCAAAATAAATTTCTAAGAAGCAATGATTTCAGTGTCTGTGAGTTTGCTATTTTATCAAACATGTCTGACTTCCCCTCAGGTGTTTCTATATCCCAAGATACAATCAGATAATTATCTCCTCCCAAAGGGAAGCTAGAGAAATTCTAGACACTAAAATCAATGTTGCCTGCATATGAAGGCTGGATGGATTCTAGGGAGGCTGAACCAGCACCAGATGAAAACACAGAAAACTCAATAGGGTCCAGTGTTCATGCAGAATGGCGAGGCACTGTGGTGTGAACACTCTTGGGAGGGAGGCAGCAGGTATGAATGGGTGAGAAAAGCCAGTAACAACAAATCTAGAGCACGTGGCAGGCAGAGCTAGCTTCTGGGAACCCTTAAAGCGAGCCTTCAAAGGCTTTGTCATTTGTTTATGTGAAAGTCAAAGGAGTCAAAGTCTAGCTCATAAACAGAGTCAAATGTCTGGCAGACAGACATTTGTACATTAGACATCTTGACATTAGTACAGGAACTGTGGATCCAGACACAAAGTTGGAGGGAATTGTATGGGTTTGGGTTTGAGGGTGGCATATAATATGTCTAATGCTTGAGGTCAGAGTGTTCCTCATCTATAGCAGGGAAAGTCTGATCGAGACTTAGATGTTTAGAAGTTGGCACTTCCTTTTGTTCTGTCACTTATCTTTCACTTCTGTGGCCCTTAGACTAAAAATCAACCATTTACCCAAAGTATTATAGTCTTCTTTTATAAAACTGCTTTGTAACCAGAAATTTGCTTACAACATTACTTTATCTACTGATGCCGAGTGTAAAATAACAGGATATATCAAAACTAAAATAAAATGGCTCAACAAATAACAAAACTTAACATTTCACTTGCTTATTTTTCTGTGAGTATGAGTAATCAAAATTACTTTATAATGCTTTTAAGATTTTTCCATTCCCTGTGATTCTATGTGATTACAAATGTATCTGACTTAATCTGTCCTGCTTAAGTTTATTTTTATTTCAGGAGTTCTAGCAACTAGTAGTCCTTTCTAGGCAGTGTCATTTAACTATTGATCCACATTGTGAAATACTTCTTAACTTAATGATTCTGCCTTGAGATGACTCAGAATGAGCTCAGATATGATCATAAATATTACCAGGCTGATATTGGCAGACAGTGTGTCTTGACATAATGAATTCAGAACTATGTTTGATAGACAAGAGTCCCTCCTCATCCCTGATTCTGTTTTCCACATTTCAGTTACCAACAGCCAATTACAATGTGAAAAACTAAATGGAAAAACTCAGCAGTAAACAATCCATGATTTTTAAATTATACACCTTTTTTAGTAATATAATGAAATCTCATGCTATTTTGGTAGACTAGATAAATGTATCCAGTCTATCCATAGTATATATACTACCTATCTCCATGTTACTTAGCACCTGTCTTGATTGTCCTGGTTATCACCATGCTGAGTTCAAGTAACACTTGTACTTCATAATGGCCTCAAAGCACCAGAGAGGTGGTGCAGGCAACTTGGATTTGCCAAAGAGAAGCTATACAGTGTTTCTGTAAGTGAAAAGTGAACATCATCCACTTCCTAAAATAAAAAGAATTTACTGAGATTTCTGAGGTATGTATCATGTTAAAGTTGTTAATTTGTTATTGTGCCTGGGTAATAAACTTCATCACATGTTTGTAGCTCAGGGAAGAAGTCTAGTAGTAGTTCTATGTAGGGTTTAGCACTATACATGGTAGTAGGCATGCATTGGAGGTCTAGGAACATATCCCCACAGAGAAGAGAAATTACTATTTTTGAATATATAATCCTAATAAAGATGGGAACCTATCCCATTCATTTTGTAGCTCCATTGTCCCAGATACAAGTAGGAGGCTTTGTCAGTGGGGCATAATGCTGCCTTCCAGTAGCCTGAGTTCAAAACAGCAAGCTACAGCTAGAACTCTCACTGCAAGTTAACATTCCTTTGATTGCTAACACTGCCTGGCAAACTCTGATCTGAATCTGTCCTTCTCTGCAGCACCTTCCTGACAGAAGCTAGCTCTGAAATTGTTATTTTTCGTCCTCTGTAGTCTCAGATAGTGGGTATTCTGTATCCCTAACTACATCTATCTTTGAGCTTATCAGTTACTATCTCACAAGAATGCTTTCATATATTTTCAGCTTGTGGTAGTCAATAGCTGCTCCCTCCACTGAGCCCAGGCCAAAATATGAATCCTGTAATTCATAACCTCTACTTTCAAGTATTAGCCTAGTGCCAGTGAGGAATATGTAGGCTCAAGCAACAAAAAACACTATCACAGTGGATTACTGTGTAGTAAGTGTGCTTGGTTTATATGATAAGGAGCCTTTCTAGAATTCATGTGATAAGATGATCCAGAGCTGGTACAGCAAGTTCTGTTGTCATCAATAATCCAGAATTCTACTGTGTATTGTTCTGCTTCCAGGACATCTTCATGACTGTTAAATCAAAACTGAAGTCAGATTTAAAGCAGATCTTTCAATGTAAGGTGGGGGGGTCTTGTTTAGGATTAGTTAATATCATAATATAATAGTTTAATAAACAAAGGTGCGGATTTTGCTGTAAGAGATTCAAAGTATCAACTGTGTGATGCTTTATACATCCTTCACCCAGTTCTTTAAAAAGTTAACAAAAAGTTAGCAAAGTTATTTTGAACCTTTCTAAGTAAAAGTTTTGGAAAATAGTAGTGTTGAATAGATGTGGACAATAAATTTTCAGGGGGGGTGGGAGGGGGAGAAAGAGATTCTTACCTTGCATCCAGATTTTTATCTTCATCCAAGTCAGGACAAACAGGGAAGAGTCAAAGGCTTTCTAATGGGGAGACTTTACTTTGGAAGGTAAGCCCACCCCAAAAGATGCCTACATCCTCCTGAGCACATCAATGTCTCATGACTACCCCCATGGGAGGCAGAGAAATTAAGTGTCTGGCTTTCTAAGTCTATAGTAGCTGGTTTAATTATGAGTGCAAAGCAAGGGAAGGAAATCAGGGGATTTTACAGGTGGACGATTCTCCGGGCACCATTTTCCAAGAGTCAGATGCAGCCAGGACATAATGTATATTCTCCTACTCAGTAACTCACTTCAGACAACTCCATCTCACGTATTCTTCCCCTAGTCCTTCCTACATCCACCAGGAAGGTTCTAGCTCTTCTTATATGCTGGTCCCTGGGCTCACCTTCACAAAGCTTCACCTCCACTTCATATATTAGCAAATATATAATTAAGCTCTGATCTTTAAGCTGTTATCTCTTCCACATCCTTCATCAGTTTAAAGATGATATATGAGGGCCAAACAGTTCTTTTGATGCTGAGGTTATATTCTTCATAGTTTCATTTTAATTGTAGCCAATTTTGTTTTTGAAGGGAACTTTGCTTTTAGCTTCCAGATTTCCCTTTCTTATAGAGAAGTGGTTTGTTAAATTATTCCATGTCAATATACATGTGAAAAACACGATAGTTAATAGAACAAATTAATACATGTGCCATGTGTCTATAGCCTATTTAAAGCATGCTTGTAAACTTGTTAAACCACACAAAATCAAATTATGTACTATTCACCAACCTACAAATGGGATAAAAACATCAGAATCTATGACACAGTTACCTCTGGGGATATCAGAAAGGCAATTGAATATGAGATCTTTTCTGATATGTTAAAGTACTGAAGGGAATGTGAGTCCCTAATTCTAAAGCAAGTCATATGTCACCCCACTCGTGAATATGCCAAAAGGCATATGAATGAATTAAGGTACCAAATCCTGGGACAAGCCAATTCACCCTTGCCAGAGAAGCAAATGTGGCTGTTTCCACATGTTCCACATCTCTTCTTCATAAAGAAGACTCATTGGGACCCCTCAAAGAAGGCAAAAATCTGTCTTACTTTGAATACAGTTAATGCCAACTACCTTGAGATGTTGTTTCTGTGTTTCTTCACTTCTGGTTTCCTGACTGGATATACTCTTTCACCTCCAATCCTATACTGGACAAGGGCTGCTTCTAGGTCTACTCAGCCTGTCACGTTCATATTTAACATGGACTCAACTGGTTGAGGTCACCTGGCCAGCCTGCCCACTGTGTGAAAAAACATTTCCCAGCACTGTCTTCTGCCAGATGCCTCCCTGCATGGAACAGTACTTGGTCATTTGATGGACCATATGATAAAATTTCTCAATGGTTTGGACTATGTCAACTTAGCTATAATATTCCTAATAGTGTATATTTAAATTCAAGCCTAAATACTAGAACAGGTGTCTGCTAGTATCCCATTACCCAGAAAAAACTCTCAGCCAGAAAATCAGTCTATCATTCTTCAATGAAAGGTATAAGGAGGATGCATTGTTTCTCAAAGTATGCAACAAAAAGAACAACTTGTATCACAATTGCTTGAGATGGTTTTAAAAAAAATCATGTTGATATTGAACTATATCCCCTAAAACAGGAATCTTGGAGTGTAGAACATTGGGAACTCTGTATTTTTCACAACAGTGGGTTTTATATGTTAGTAGATCAAAAGGAAATGAAACAGGATGGATCCCAGTTTGCGCCTATCTCCATTTGATCTCAATGGTCAATCTCCTCAAAAGTCAGCATGCTCTACCTCTTTTGTGCTGGTCTATATATGAGCCAGGGTCCTCATGGTCTTAGACAGCCTTGTTTTGGAAACATCAAATAGTTAGAACTTGGAAAATTTGAATAGCCATTCTTTGGCTGAGAAAGAGGTCCATGGCATTGTAAAGAAGACATGGCTTCCTCTCCAAAATAGCACTATCACCTGAATACATCTTTTGTGTGTGTGTGTGTGTGTGTGTGTGTGTGTGTGTGTGTGTGTGTGTGTATTAAAAATACCGTACAGAGGGGTTACAATTACATGGGCAAGGTAATGAGTACATTTCTTATCAAGCATTGTTGCCTCCTCCTTTGTTTCCCCTTTCCATCCCTTCCCATACTGCCCCCTATCTGATCCTCACCCTCTACCCCCACCCCCTGACCAAAGTTGTAAAGTTTGTTTTCGATGTAACGACTTGTATATCTCATTGTTGCAATGGGTCCACCTGTATCCCTATTTAAACGGTTTGTTTTTCCCCTTCCCCTCCACAAATGATACCAACATCAAATACAGTGAAAGCAGGGGTTATACCATGGGGGAGGGAGATACAAAGCAACAAAGAAATCATCTTATAAATATGTTAGAAACAATCAAAAAAAGAAAAATCATTTGAATACTTATTTTGGGGTTCATTTCCCTAATATCAAGTTATCTGGCCTTTTCTGCTTGACTCAGACATATACTAGTTATTGCAAATAATGGAAACCATGGGACCTATGTTTCTTTGGGCCTGGCTTACTTCACTTAATATCATTTTTTCCAAATCTTTCCATTTCCTAACAAATGGGGCAATGTCATTCTTTCTGATGGAGGCATAGAATTCCATTGTGTATATATACCACATTTTCTTGATCCATTCATCAACTGAAGGGCATCTGGGTTGGTTTCATAAAGAGAAAGTTCTCTGAAGAGGAAAGAAGGATGGGCAATAGACACACGAAGAAATGCTCAACCTCTCTAGCCATTAAAGAAATGCAAATCAAAACAACATTGAGATACCACCTCACCTCAGTTAGAATGGCTATTATCAAGAACTCTAATAACAACAGATACTGGAGGGGATGTGGATAGAAGGGAACTTTACTGCATTGTTGGTGGGAGTGTAAACTTGTTCAACCACTTTGGAAAGTAGTATGGAGGTTCCTCAAAAGACTCCACATAGAGCTCCCCAATACCTAGCAATCCCCCTTTTGGGCATTTACCCAAATGATCACAAACAAGACGACACTAAAGCCACCAGCACAACTATGTTTATTGCAGCACTGTATATATTTTTATTGTAAAAAATATGTACAGAGGGGTTACAGTTACATGAGTAAGGCAATGAGTACATTTCCTATCTAGCATTGTTACCTCCTCCTTTGTTTTTCTACCATCCCTTCCCTCCCACCTCCCCAACTTCTCCCTCTGAACACATCTTAAAATGCCAAAAATATGAAATATGTTGATCAACAACATCATCAAAATAATAGAAGTTCCTGACTTTTTCAGAGCTCTTTCCATAGTAAGGTCTCACCTGGCTCTCAATGACCAAAGTCATATCATTATTCCTTATTTACTCTTAGGTTTGAAAATACCTGACAAGCATCCATATGCCTTCTTCCTGGGGTTAGCTAGGATTCTACTTTAGCTTTGATACTCATTACTTTATAGGATATAGTCTTAGAGGGAGTATTAATCCCATGTAACCTAAACTAGGAATTCACATGCCTTCCTTAAAAAATGTGATTGGTTCTTATCCATCTGAGTGGTAGAGTCAAAAGCTCTTAGCTCCTGTCATTTCTGACCTGATAGAAATGTCTGAGCTTGGTTCATCAGCTTTCCTCCATAGTTAAAGCTAGTTCATCTTGTAGGAAGAATGATGGTTTCCCCTCTAAACGTCCCACATTCTAATCCCCAGAACCTGCTAATTCACACTCTATGTAATAAGAGACTTTGCATCTATGATTAAAGTTATACATCTTGAGATAGTAGACTATCCTGGATTATGCAGGCAAGCCCGAGGTAAGTGACAGAAGACATTATACATGAAGGAGAAAGGCTGTCAGGAGGGTCAAAGTGATGTGAAGTGAAAAATACTCAACCAGCCATTGTTTGTTTTGAAGGTGAAGGGAGGAGCAAAGAAACGCAAGTGTCCTTCAGAAGCTAGAAAAGACAAGAAAATAAATCCTTCCTAGAGCCTTCAGAAGAAATGAAACCCTGCTGACATCTTTGTTTAACCCAATGAGATCCATTCTGGACTGATCTCCAGAATGATAGGTAATATATTAAATTGTTTTAAATCAAATAGTCAATTTGTTACAACTTCAGCAAGAAATAAATATGCCCAATAGGCTTCTGCTAAGCTCCTTTTTGTTTAAACAAGCCAAAAGAACTTACTATTGCTTGTAACTCAAGACCAACATCCACTATGTAATTTTCAACCCCCTTTGCCCATACCTGGTTCTGTTTCCAGGTCCTGAGCTCTATTCTTCCAGGAGCCCATCATCCTTAAAAACAGAGCCCTGGGAGTGGCTCGAGTGGAAAGAGCTTGCCTTGAGCTGAGGAGCTCAGGCATAGCACCCAGACCTAGAGTTCAAGCCCCACGACCAACCAAAAACTAAACAAAACAAAACAAAAATCAGAGCCCTGCTTAGTGATAGAACCTTGCTGTTGTTCACAGCCCTCCCAGAGTCAGAATGGCTGTTCACCAGGGCTCTTCACTGTCATCTAGTTACCTTGTCTCTGTGGCTCTCCCCCAGTCAGGACACTCTAATCCCTCTCTGGTACTCACTATTTCCCCCTCTCTTCTACCCTCCTCACCTCTTATTCCCCCTTTCCAGTTATCATATGATTACCTAGTAACTTACAGTTGCCTTTTTTCTGGGCCACACTGTCTTAAATACATACCCTGCCTCTTTTGTACATTGCTGTCTCAGAGCCAACTCCCACAGTGCCTGCTATTCCCCTATGGGAATGGCTAGTTCTGGAGTACTGCAAGTGCCCAGCTTCTCTTCCTCCTTGATACAAGTATGAAGCTAGGCCTGGTCAAATCATGAAATATTATTTTCAAACCTGAAAGAGATGGTTCAGAGAAGCAGAAAATAAGCAGAAGCCAGCTCATTCAAACCTAGAACTTAATTTATTTTAAAAACTCCATAAGTAAGAACTTCATAATCCTTCTTATCACCTTAAAAACAGAAATCTTGAATGTATGAATAAGGAATAAAACCCAGACACAGAAAGTAATGAGCAAATTTTATTGTTTGCAAATGATACAAGTTAGAGAAGATGCAGAGGGCGTCTTTGATAAGGCAGTTTTCTAATCATTGCTCTCATTCACTCATCTCAGGTTTGCAAACCTTCTTAAACAAAAACTCAGTGTGTTCTTTTTTTCCAACTTTGTTTGTCACTCCAACAGGTTCACCAGAATTGCAGGAAGTACAGACAAACCATCCCGGATTGGCAGCCGATTCCAAAGTATACAAGGATCCCGCCTTAGCCTGGTAAAAGATGAAGGGTTTCTGTGCTAGCTCCTTCTGGCCAGCTAGGCTCTTAAGTTGCTTCTTCTGTGGGATAAAAGATAGTGGAGGCTTTGACATGGATATAAACCAACACATACCCTCATGCTCCAAACGTTTACTTCAGAAAGAAGGAAAAGATCGAGGATGGATAGCTCTTGAGGAAGCATGGTATCAGACTTGAACATTATTTGAAAAGATGAGTTATGCCTTCTCTTTGACTCCCCTCTCTCCCCATAATTAAGAATAAACCGAGGAGAATAAGGAATCAGACATCAAAGTATCATCTATGTGTGGTTTTTTAAAAAAGATTAATTAGAGAATCCAGCTTCAATCTATAGGCGAAGTGGGCCTGATAGGAGTTTTTTCCCTCAAGTGAGGACCAAACCAGGAAAAATCCAGCCTGATCAAGGCCTGTGATAAGTTGAGGGAGGCAGAAGAGCTGCTGGGCTCCTCTTCCTAGCTCTCCACTCTGTAGATCCCCGCCTCCCTCCTCCTGTAGAAATAGCCACAACCCAGAAATTCTTCTGCCTGGGCTTCTAGAAAGATAGAAATAAGAAGGTGCAGAGAGAACACGAAGCATTAATTGAGGGCCTTGATCTTTTACTTTAAGATGGCTGAGTGTGCTGAAGAACCTGTACTGAAATGCTCACCTTTAGCTGAAGGGATGGCTTACGTTTGCCTTTGTCCTTGTTACAGTAGAGACAGAACTCCCCTTTAGAGACAGCCAAGAAAATCGGGTTTCCTTTCTCCACAGTGGCTGATTCCAAGCGGGAGGCTAGTACAAAGAAGATCTCTGGAAATAAACTGCAAGAGTCAGCATGCAGAGCAGGAAGAGATTCCTTCTGTACTCTAGAGCTTCAGGCCTGACACATTGCCCCTGTGTCCCTTTGGCTCTGGGTCAAAATTCCATCCCCACTGTCTGTCACAATGGCCTAAGCCTCCTCTTTCATAGGCCTCTGGCCCTTTCTTTCAAGACCTTTCAGAAAAAAGCTGGAGACAAATTCCCCACCCATCCCAACTGACTCTCATCAGATGCTCAAGGATCCTTAGCAGCTACCACCTGCTAGTGCTGGAGATGTGACGCAGCAGACTAAGCTCCCCTAAAGGATGGAAGCCTCACGCTCTAGCTGGGTGGGGACAGAAAAGAACAATGGCTGAGAATCACCTGGAAGTATGTAGCTTTTCATTGGGATGGCTTTTAGGGTCCCCTCATCAAGGACAAACACTTTGTGATCACCATCATGAATGCTGTATTTTTCTGGCTCTTTGGCTTTCAACTTTGAACCTAGATGGATATAACCATTACCAACATATTACAATGAATGAAAGATCCAGCTTTTCTTACCCCCAAACCAAGGTTCCCAACCCCAGATCTTTATCCGCTTATATGCTCAAACATTTTTTAGCCATTTAACTCCCAGGCATTTTGCCTTGCTTGAGACAACCAAATTACCATTGGGTATAAATACACTTTGACAGAATTTTGTTTGATGAGCTCAAACCAAGTTTTATCAATTGCTGCTTTAGGACCTAGGATAATCCTCAATATCCAGACCTGTGAAATGCGTAAATTAATAGCCTCTACCTGAGGTGGGAGGCATGGTGATTTAAATCCATTACTTGAATAAATACCACAGTCTAAGTTGTGAACATATTCATTCTTCTTTTTTACTTCTTTCACTGGTATTGGAACTTGAAGTCAGGGCCATGTACTTTTACATTCAATACTTTTTTATTCAAGGCTAGTGCTCTTCTATTTGAGCCACACCTTCATTTACAGCTTTTTGCTAGTTAACTAGAAATAAGAATCTTAGGGACTTTTCTTCACAGGCTGGTTTTGAAGCATGACCATAACTGCCTCATGCATCCTCTGACTATGGACATCATACCAACAGTATGATCCATCCAAGATAGTCATAATAAAGGTAGGGATGAGAAACAGAGGCAGGAAGCATCCTGGAGCCCAGCATGGTACAAGATAGAGCTGGCATTGTAGAAACTCTTTTAAAAAGCTGTAGGGCTTAAATCCAGCTATGGTCTGGGGTTTACATGGTGTGAATTCTTAAATAGAAACACTCAGTGATGGGCCAAGACTATTAAAACTATTTGGCTCCAAAATTTTAAGTACTTGTCACTCTGTGTGATACTATAACCAAAGAAGCTGAGACACTTAACTAGTGTATTGTAAAGTCCATCTAAGGCCACATTCTCCTCCCACGCAGGAACACAAGGCCTCTACTTGGCTTCTCAGTGAACTGTCCTCCCGTTTTTATCCTGCCCAGAGATTGGGGAGGAATCTCCACCCATACTAGCACTCTTGCAGCCTCCTCCTGCAGGTCTGCAGCCCCCTTCTCCTCTTTTACAGCACTGTGCATAGATTACTTGGACCTGCTCACAGATACCAGTGCCCCTGTCTTATCGCTCTGTAGCACTGTACACTCCCTTGTCTGACTCACCTGTCATCTTCCACTGACCCCAAGATGCCTTATCCACTACAACACTCAATGCCTTTGAAGCAGATGACAGCCTCAGGCAAGATCCTAATTCCTACTATACTCTACAATAATATGGAATCATAGGAAATCTGTGGCTCTCAGCTCTGGCTTATCACAGAATCTCCTGAGCTTTTCTGGCTCTGATCCTGACTAGCTTGAGCTCACTGTTACAGGTTGCCTGAGAGCTGTTGAGCTAGATTAACTCTAAGCCTTTCAGGATTCTCACACTGTGCTGTGTACTGACTTGCCTGAAGATGTGGCTCAGTAAGTCAGCTAAGTGCTAAGGCTCTGTCACCCTGATCAGCCCCAGAAGTCATTGTTGCTGCTGCTCTGAGGCCAGCCCATTGAGTGGTACAGCGTAAGGCAGTGGTTCTCAGCCCTGGCTGACCACTGAGCCTTGAAACTAGGTCACATTTAAAGATCATGGACTCTTTAGCTCCAACCCCTGAAATTCTGTTCAAAGATTCAGGGTAAGACCCAGACAAGAAGTTGTGCTAGAATTGTTTTTCTGCTTCTTATATACAAAATATGTCTTATTTCCATTTCTTCGACTCCATTTCAATAAACATTTTATATTATCATATGCACATAGCTATTAAGCTTTTGTGATCCTCTCCTAAGAACAATTTCTTTTGGTCTCACTTTGTGAGTTAGAATTTAGAGACCCATATAATTTATTATGCCCAAATGTAATGTTTTGTTGTTTACCATCCAGTATGTTTACTTTTAGATTTATAGGCACATTCTAACTACTACAAATGATGGAAAACATGCAACCCATGTTTCTTTGGGTCTCTGGATTACTTCACTTAACATAATTTTTCCAAGTCTTTCTATTCCCTTATGAGTGGAGCAATGTCACTTGTTTCTGAGGAAAGCATAGAACTCCATTGTTTATGTATACCATATTTTATTGATCCATTCATCCACTGATGGACATCTTTGTTTTTGATCTTTTGTCTTGTATGTAAATTTATTTTGGGGGGGGTAAGAAGTATCACTGAAACAGTGGACAAAGGGTAAACACATGGAACAGTGATACTCACTAAACACTATGTTAAAAATGAACTATACAACTTGTAGGGGAGAGAAGTTGGGAGAGAAAAATGGAGTAAACAAAGGAAGAAGTGACATTGTTCAAAAAGAAATCACCTGACTTAGGTAAGTGTAAGGCCTCTGTACATCACCTTTACAACAGTAAAAAAAATTAAAAACACAAACATGCTTCTTTGTTTGCTTTGTATCCCTGTGACTAGGCCCTGATATGGGCTTGCATTGTCACAGGCCAATGCAATAACTCTTCAGGATGTTCTCATTCATCATCTCTGACCCTTGATCCATTATTTAGACTTCCTTCTCAAAGACACTGTGTATTGCAGAGTTTATAGCACAGGCAATTATTTTCTATAGGCATTACTTTGTGTTTCTTATAGATCCTTCTGGTTGGATTCACTTCCCCAAAGGTAAAGCCTCAGCCCACCATAGCATCTTGAGGCATCTCAGTCTATGAGTCTCCCCAGCCCTCTTAGAAGGCCCAGTAACACCATCCCCTCACCACTCATATCATCCAGGGACCTTACCTGAACGGGAAGAACTCACAGAGAACTGGGTTAGGCCTGGCTTCAAAGACGTTCCAACTGCCCCTGTGGTCAGAGATAGTGAAGTGAGTATGAATACTTTCTTGGCATTTTCCAGAAATTCAGGGGGAATAGAGGCCATTAATTCTTTTCTTCTTTTGTATATGTGTTGAGAAATACACAGATGCTACTTGAGATAAAAATATCCAGGTTTACCTGCTTTCACTATATTTGATGTCAGTATAATTTGTGGAAGGGAAGGGGAAAAACAAGTCGTTTAAATAAGAATACAGGTGGACCCATTGCAACAATGAGAAATACAAGTTGTCATGTCGAAAACAAACTTTACAACTTTGGTGGGGGGGGACGGACTGGGTGGGGGGGGCGAGGGGAGGCAAATAATAATAAAAAATAGCCAGGTTTAGCTCATGGTAGGCCTCTCCTGTCATCCAAAATGCTTTAGATTGTTATGTGACTCCAAAACTTCTTCTCAGGTCATCCTTAAGCCAGTCCCCTCCTTTGAAGAAGCTCTGAGTCAAATCTTTTTTCTCACCCAGCCTCAGAAAGCCTTTCTACCACAAAGCCTTGTGGTTGGCCTGGGTAGACAAGAAGAGAGAGGAAAGACACATTAGGTAGATGTATTACTCTTCCCTGAATCTTTAGGAGGAGAACTTGATGCAGATGGGCACCAGCAGTAAAAATTCTGTTCCTTTCTAAGAGTTTTGTCTAATTTCTCTTCCATAGAAGTTCTAAAGCTCACTAATTGTGCTATTCAACAGGGTGGGAGAGAGTCCAGGCACAGCTCTCGATAGCTCCTGCTTTTGGAATTGTGCTTTGGGCCCTGATGTGGATGTTTAGAAAGTTTACCTTCTGAGCGGCACTGAGAATCATCTTCTTTCCAGTCTTGGGAATCCATCTTCACTTCTGACTCCTCCAAAGCTGACATTTCTAAGCACTAACAACATAAGAGATAAGCTTGACATGTAGGACTTGAGAAAACAAGAGGATCATTTATAGAGCCTTGTACCCCAGAAACATTTGCAGGACATCCCTAGTGCTGAAGAAACAACCAATCTGGCTCTCTGCTTGGAAATGCTCAATATTTCTAGGAAGACCTCACAGGGCTAGAACATGCTCATTCATCACTCCTCCAAAGCAGTGTTTCCAAATTACAAGTCACAATGCCAGCAAAAAATCATGATACAAATTTTGTAGATGTTGACTTTTTGTTATAAAATAAAATAGAATAAAAATTTCAAAATATATTTGCTCTAGTTGTCATGGGACTGGCAAGCTATAGCTCACTGGCCAATTCTAGGTGTAATGTTCAGATTTTCAGAAAAACCCTAGAGGACATGGCTTCTAGGAAGGAGAAAAGCAAGGCAGGTATCCAGGTTCTATTCTATTTTCTTTTCCATGTTAGCTGGCTTCTTAATTTGAGGGTAAAATTGCTGCACGCTTTGTTTTCAAATAAAATTTTATTGGAACACAGTTGTATACTTATTAAATATTGGCTCTGGCTGCTTTGTGATGCCTAGCATCACCAGAAAAGCCTAAAATATTACTGAAGCATTTCTGTAGAGTCTGCTGATCTCCAAAGTAGCCTAATCTTTGCCTAATAAAAAAACAATTCTAGCCAAGTGACAATGGCTCATGTTTGTAATCCTAGTTACTCAACTAGTTGAGTAATCCTAGTTGAGTAACTAGTGTACTAAGTAGAAGGCTGAGATTTGAAGATTTCAGTTCAAAGTCTTCCAAGGCAGGAAAGTCCATGAGACTCTTATCTCCAGTTAACTACCAAAAAATCTGAGAGTGGAGTTACTGCTGAAATGGTAGAGTGCTAACATTAAGAGAAAAAGCTAATAGACAAAGCCCACACCCTGACTTCAAGCCCCAAACTGGCAGAAAAAACAAATTTTTTTACAATCTCTTGTCATGAAAAGCTAAATTTTCAGAGATCTTGGAGGGTTCAAACTTCTAGGTTTGGGGAAAAGTTTGATCCACATGACTTGTATTGGAAAGGATTAGAGAAGAGATATTTTAATATAAATTCTGTGATCTTATCTCAACAAACAAAATTTTTCCTAACAATCTAGCTCAATACAATGAAGAAAATGGAGCAAGAAGAAAATCTTTTTTTTTTTTTTTTGGTCAGTCCTGGGGCTTGAATTCTGGGCCTGGGTGCTGTTCCTCAGCTCTTCAGCTCAAGGAGAACATGCTACCACTTGAGCCACAGCACCACTTGTGGGGTTTTTGGTGGTTTATTCGAGATAAAAGACTCAAGACCTTCTCCTGCCTGGGCTGGCTTTGAGCCACGATCCTCAGATCTCAGCCTCCTGAGTAGCTAGGATTACAGGTGTGAGCCACCAGTGCCCAGCAAGAAGAAAATCTTTAACAGATGAAAATCTGACTAAAGAGCTAGACATTTTATGTGGAAAGCCAATCTCTTTAGAAAATGGATTAGGAGCAAGACAAAGGAAATCAATCATTTTGCAAAAGATAATAAAATTGTAAGAAACGATTTCTGTGCTCAGCAACTAACACAGTGAGAAGAAGCAAAGGGTGACCACTTTTGGTGAGTAGGTAGAGCTGATGCTTTGTTTTTGTACTAATCTTGGTACTTGAACTCAGAGCCTGGGCACTGTCCTTAAGTTTTTTACTCAAGGCTAGTGCTCTACTGCTTGAGCCACAGTTCCACCTCCAGCTTTTTGGTAGTTAATTGGAGATACGAGTCTCATGGACTTTCCTGTCCAGGTTGGCTTCAAATCTTGATCTTCAGATTTCAGCCTGAGTAGATAGGATTACAGGTATGATTCATCAATTCCAGCTGAGCTAATGCATATTTAAGAACAAGAATATTTACCATTACTTTTAAAGCTACTGTTTGGATGCATTCCTATATTCAATGAGAACAATTGCCTTTATAATTTAGGAGAACAAGGAACACAAAAAATTGATGACTTTGAGAAGACAGAATTTACAGGACATCAGAGCAAACCAAATCTGGTGGAAATATGAGTTTGTATACACAAAAATTCAGATGAACCTGGGAGTACATTATTAGGGTAAGTTTGTGTGGCTTCTAGTGAGTTCCCTAAAAAAGCAGTCCACTGGCTCACCTGAGGTCTATCTCTATCCACCTAAGAGTACTCAAGTTCTTGAGTTCCAAAATATCTTTACAATGGCCAGTACTTTAGATACTCTGAAATCAGTCTCCTCAACTTTCAGAGATGTGTCAGCATTAACAGATTATAGAGCTTTCCAAAACTAATGTCAGCTTGGAACCCCAGCAATGCCTTCCTTTTTATAGGAGCATTCCTAGTAGATATCAGGCTGGTGTTAGAGCTGAAACTCCAGTGGTCTGAGCAAGACTTGGAGATAATGCTCAGAAATTCAGCAAAGCCCCAGAGGATATGCTTCTGATAAGGAGAAAATCAAGGGAAGTGACCAGACTCTGTTCCAATCTCCAAAGTGGAGGTGAGGAGCACTTACCTAGCCACGGATCCCTTCAGTCTATGTCTCTGTTGTGAATTCATGGAGCTCTGTTTGTCTTCTACCCATATATAAACACTGAGCTCAAGGAAGAGGGCTGGTCTTGATTTAGATTCAGTGCCTTGGGAATGGAAATGTAAATGATACAGCAGGATTACTCTAGCCAATAATTGATAGCTTATTATACATCATTAATTTCCTGTTGTTTTTCATCCCATAGGTATAGACACATTCCTTCAGAGTAGCATCATTCTATCAAAGGCTACTCACATGCGTTCAACACATTTCATGGAGACAGACATTGCAGCTGCCCATCTAATCAGAGTGAAATCCAGATGAGTGAAAGAAAGAAGGAACAATGGGATCCAAATCAGCCAATGGGCCTGAGAGTCCTAGAGAAGTCCTTGTTCTCTAGCGGGTTCTTTAACCCATTCCTAGTATTCAGATAAGTGGAGTGTTCATATTCCAGAGAAAATCAAGTCCTCCTCCCAGGTTTCCTCCCAGATGCCACTGACATTCTTCTGCCTCCTTTCCTTGATTGAGCCAAGGACCAGCTTCTCTCTATAGCTCACTGGTATTTTACTTGCATTGTCTTGCATTTTGCTTTGCATGTGCTCTTATCAGTTACATAGATATGTTTCCCATGGCCAACTCAGAGGGAAATAGACATAACCAATGTCCAACAGAGTACAACAGCAACCACATGAACCAACCACAGTACCCTCACTAGACCAGGCCTGGGATCAGCCCGTTTCTTTATCAAGGATGTAATATTTTCATGATCCCATAGGTAGATTGCTCATATTTTATAGGCAAGATGCAGTACAATTTACAAAGGCTAAGCAATTTACTTAAAACCACATCCCTCATCACTAGAAGAACTGGACTTTAACTCAGGCCTTTTGGCTATGCTGCAGCCCCATCTCTTAAATGTTGATTTGAGACGGGTTTCATCATCTAGCAATTTTTTTTATGCACAAGTGTATATAACATACAATGTTTGACAAATTATTTTGGATTATGCATTCTCTACTTTAAAATACTTTCATTTTCTATTCGGTATGATGCCTCAAATATTATTCTTTTTATCAGTGCTACTCTACATTAGTTAACATACTTCATTATTTTTCTAAAGACAGAAAATTTTATTCTCTTAATTGCTATAATAAGAATCCCTAATTTATCTAAGGAAAGACATTTCAATGGAGATAATCTTGATAAACCTCTTAGGATGGGATGGGATTATAACAGAAAAGGGGAAATAAAACTAAATTGAGTCAATATAGCTTTTTAAATTGCTTCTAAGAAAACAGGTGTATTAGTACAAGTATTTGTGCTGTTCTGACTTCTCAAATGAATGAGGATATGGTTAGAGGGCTAGCATTTTCCTCAGAACAGGGAAGCTGAAGATCTGTGGGAGGTGCTACATTTGGGAGATGAAAAAATAGGCTTTGAGAAATCAAGCTCAAGTGGTTCTTAGAAGGAGAGAAAATGAAGAAGCTATGTCAACAATGAGGGTACCAGTGGGGTATGGGTTAGCCAGTGTAAAATCTTTATTAGACCATATAAAAACTTAATGAGTTCGATTATCTACACCAATACTGTTACATAGAGGATGTTCTGTGTGTATGTGTGTGTGTATTTGTGTGTGTGTATTATATTGTTGGTTTGTTGGTTTGTTGACTGATTGCTCAGAGGTTCAAAAAGATAAGGGACAATAAATTTATGTATCAAATAGGATTGGTCATAACATCACAAATTTACATTTATTCTCAAGTTTACACTGTCATGCATATAATATATGTGCATATATTAAGTATAGTATTTTATATATATAATACATTTATAGGTATAAGAACATTGATAAGCTGGGCTTAAATCTTTTCAAATATCTTTATTTATCATATTTAAATTTCTGCATGTTGAATTACTGATCCAAAGCTCGGATTTTATTTTATGTACATTTAAAAGTTTTGTAAATAAACATGAATTTTTTCTTTTTAGTGGTTCTGGGAGTCTACCATCTGTTCGAGCAGTCATTATCCTTGCTCATGGGCATCTTTGTGAGTCCTCATGGACAAGACATGAATTTATACTCCCTGCTTACTTCTCTGTTTGTTTCTGAGTTGATTTTTGGGAAAAGCCAGCAATACATGCTGTTGCCATCCCCAGTAGATATCTCAGAATAGGGAGTGCAGAAGGAATAATAGGAAGAAGTGATTTAGGTCCTGGATCTTTTGATAGATCCTAGACAGGACAGGCTTGGAGTAAGAATGAGAGAATTGGTTATTGGTATGATATCTTGGCTTAGAAGCCAGAAACAGAGATGGAAGAGCTTGTCTGTACCTAGCACTTTATCTTGATCTCAACAGCCCAAATGACCTATGCCTAAGTTTCTCTATAGTAGTTTCTGTCCAATAAAGCTGGACAGTGCCAGGTGTCCATGTCTGGAAA